TAAAATTTACTGTATACAAGTGAAATGGTAACTTTTCCATTCAACTATTGTTTATAGCTGTTATCTATATTCCCACTAAATAAGGGTCTTTTTGCTTTTTAATTGCTAAACTTCTTATTTGGTAAAGCATTAAGCCTCTTTACTATTACGTAAATTTAAAAGATATTATCTCAAAAATTGAAAAAAAGAAAGAGAAGGAGAGGGAGGGAGGAGGAAGGAAAGAAGGAGAAAGGGAATATCATTATGTTCTTAGAATTGTATCTATGAACTTTATTGAATTATTATAAATTAATTAAAATTAAAATTTAAAAATTCAGAAAAGAACATTGGTATATGAACACCCATGATTTTCCACTGAGGCAAATACTGTCATCCACTATTCTTTTGCTCTCATCTTTCTGATGAACAAAAACAGTTGTTGAGTTTATCTTATTAATGGAAATGATCTTTAGCCATTGGCACAGATCTCTGCAGGTCAAGCCCTTTGATTACAACTCCAGCCTTTTTTCCTATTGTGGTAATCACATCCACCTTGTCACAGAAAGCCAAAGGTACATTTGGCTTCTACCACTCCAGAATCATATAATCCCAGAAATATTATAGAGCCCTGTTACAACATCTCTAGTTGTTAATCATGCCCTGTAGGAAAATCTGTTGAGCTAAAAAAAATGCTGCTATCTACTCATCAGTCTATTCTACATTGCTTTAGAGAAAGAAGTATTCTGTGGAGCTTCTTGGTTATCATGGTACGGTGGTAGGTTCAAGAGTTTTATACAGTTAAATGCATTCTAACATTTGCACATTTGGAGACTCTTGTTCTCTTCCTCAGGACTGCATCAAGAGTTCCAGCATCTCTACTTCGTTTTATGCAGCCTGCCATTATATCCAAGATTCAAGGAATAATCCTAACTAAGCACTAGGATTGCTTCAAGTATGGATAAATTTCATCATGTCAGTAGTTTGTATCCAATCCTATTTCATATTTTATCTTAACCCCACTTATTGAACATCCTAAAAATTCTTCCTCACATATGATACCTGCTGATACATCATGGTGATATCCCACAGTGATATTGGCATACATGCCATTTTATCCCAGAACCTCTCCTTTCAGGTTGTGCTAATCCTGGTTATCAATCTAGAGGTAATGAGAGAAAATACTGAGGAAACCATTGCCTTATAAAGTACCTGTATTAGGCATGTTTCTGTGTTTTCCCCATATACGGTGAGACTGTTCTTCTCTGATAAGAGGAATACAATTCCTTTTGCTAGGCTGAATTTCGAGATTCTCAGACATTTATATATAAAGGTCTTCATCCAAAATCTCAATGTTCTACTTTCTTCTGACATGTTCTACCTTGACAGACAGGAACTATTGAAACTGGGCATTCAGTTCTGCCATCTTTACAGTTTGATCCTGGGTCTCACATATGGGAGAACAAATACACAATCTACTTTAGGAGTTGAGAGTTACTTGAAATCTGTATAAGGCTTGCTGACTTTAACCTTGACTTGGAAGTAGATCACTCTAGCCTAGGAAATGCACCCTACAAATGTTCTTTGATGCAGAGCAAGGTAAAGTGAGAAATGAGCCTGAGAGCCAGCTGGCCAGGGAAAGGCACATGCATAATAGGACTAAGGAAGGTGCAGCACTGACTTCTGAGAATGTGTTCTTATTGCTGCCAAGATAGCTTCATGCTGTGGATGATGCACTGACTCTGCCTTTGTGGCTCTCTGGGCTGAGGGCTTCCTGACTAGCAGACAGATCCTTATGACCAATCTTCTTCATCTCTCAAAGCTTCCCTGAGCAGGGTACCTAGGGAAGGTCCAATTAAGAGACTGAATTGAGTGCATGCATCTGTGTGCATAGAAATACACAAATTAAACAGTAGTAGGTAATTATGTTTGGTAAGTAATAATTGGAAAGTAAGAAAGTAAAGGCTATGTTATCGACTTAATGAAACCACTTATACTTGTGCAGGAGAGTAGATTTGTTTATTGCCATGAATATGAAGTTTAGTTATATTGAACCTCATCAAGTGTTGTAGGGGGCAGCATACTGAGGTTTGGCAGATTATATGGATGAAGATGAATGGGAAAGCCACTACAGATAAGAATTGCCTATAAGGCTACCAAAAATGTGAGTAATACCTGTTGTATGAACTCCACACCAGCAAAATGCAGTTACAGATTCAGATGAACCACTGACCAACTGCATACATTGATAATGTTGTTCTTAGGTTCTTCCCTTTCCCATTCCAACTTTTGGAAAAGTCATGCAACCATGACATTCCCAAGTTAAATTAAACCAGTTAGCACTTTGGGCCAACATAGAGGACACCTTTTAATTTTCTAGTCTTTTCTGTCATAGAATAAATCTGCAACTCTATCTTGGCTTCTGTTGCCTGTAATACCATCTGTAAGAATCTAGTCTTAAATTCTGTCAGGGAAACTCCTGTAAAATTCTCTTCAGTCTAGCATCTGCCAAAGTTTCATGAAAGAGGCAGACTGAAACTTAGATCTCTATTCAGTCAGTGCTAGTTTGCTGATTGTCAAATACATGTTTGGTGCTGAGGACAAAATAAGTAACATAGACTTTCCCTGACAAAAAGAGATCTAGATGCTTTCCACGGTGAGCAGTAACTTTGGGAAAGTAACTGTGAATGACTTAGAGTGGTCCAGGGATCAAAAAGGTTTTTCTGAAGACAAATGAAGTATCAGATTGGCCAACAGAGTTTCAGGCTCAGGATCAAGGTTGTAGAAAGTCCCTGGGGCATGAAAAGGCATAATTTATTTGAGGAGATGAAAGTTCAGCCTGATGAGGACATAGAACTAATGGCAAGAAAGGAGCTAATGATGAACGAGGTAGTGTAATTTACTTACTTATATGTTTCTATGGGTACAGAACATGCGGTTTTAAGACATAATTTTATTTAAAAAAGAATCAACACTTAAGAGTCTCAACTTCAAAGAGATATATATTTATTAAGACATAGTTCCTGCCTTCAAGTAACTTAGAAGGTAACAGAAAAGATAAGACACATTTTTACAATATTAAAATACAAGCCAGAATGAGTCAAAAGGGAAGGATACAGTGCTATGTGAACACAGGGGTAGATATGTGGTATTTGTTCCTGAATTCATTTTTTTCAATAAGTATTAATAAGTGTCTTCTCTGGGGTTACAAGGAATAAGACATTTTGCTTTCAAGTAATTCAGTTTAGCAGGGGAGCAAGATACATACATACAGGCCATTATGGGATAATAATAATATTTATAATTTTCAGCACTTATTAAAATCTTTACATGCATTTACCATACATCTTTTATGAGGTAGATATTGCTAGCCTCACTTTGGTGATGAGAAAATTAGCACTCAGAAAAGTTAAATCAGTTGCAGAGGTGCCAAAGTTTGAAAGTTGAAGATATGGACTTCATGCCCAGTTCTTACTGAGGAGAAGACCCAGGCTCTTGATTGCCATGGGACGCTGCTTCTTAGCAAGATGTGAGCACACAGGGAAGGCCGCCCTTGGAAGCAAGGAAAAGAGGAGGGATGCCTCCCTGTGTGGAGATTAGGGAAAAAGAAGTTTTGGGGAGATAAAAAGGGCTAGGTGTGTCCTCCAGTAGAGGGAATGGCATCAATAAGCCCAGGAGGCAGAGGTTCACCCACTGCCAGGCAATTGTGGCCATGTTGGTTACTGGAGAGTAAGCTGGGAGACAACTGGCAGGAAATACGCCTGGAGGAGGATTGAGATCATTCAGGATGCTGCATGTTTGTTCAGACATAGATTGGATAATGGGAGCCATGAAAGAGCTTCACGTGAGGAAATGCTGGGCTCAGGCATGCATTTTAGTGTGGTTACAGTGGCAGCTGGGGTGGTGTTGAGAGGAGCATGAACATGAGAAATAGACATTATGATCATGTTGCAAGAGAGCAGGAGATGGTGCATCTGAGCTAGGGTATCAGCAGGATGGGAGGGAGGAACAGACATGCTTAAGGAAAGTCTAGGTGATGAAGTTAGTTGGCTTTCCTAATTCTTTTATTATGGGCAGTCAGTTCAGGGGGAAGTCTGGATTGACTCCCAGCTTCCTCTTTGGGCAGTCAAAGTGATGGGGTAGTATTACCTTCAAATAAAGGGAGAAGACAGGTTTCAGGATGAGGTGATGAATTCAGCTTTGGTCACATAGAATTGAAAGTGCCGATGGGGCATTCAGGGGAAGCAAGAAGCTGGATAGCTGAGTCAAAATCCACAACAGACACATGCTTTGGAAAGATTTGGGAGCCATCCGCTGAAGGGTGGAGTTAAAGCAAGGAGAATGGAAGAGATTCTCCAAGTAGAATGGGTGAAGCAAGCTAAGGGAGGTCCCCGGGGGTGGGAGTCGCATCATGTGGGAGGAGATAAGGGAAAAAGTTCATAAAGAGTGAGGGGAAATGGATGCTTCAGGCCATGCAAGTAGTATTCATAAAATAGAGGGAAAGGTATGGAGTATTTTCAGAGAACAGAACAACTCATCTGGCTATATAATAGTGGGTTTGAAGCAGGTGCTGAATGAGTAAGCTGGGAAGGGGTAATATGTTTTTTTTTATTTATTTATTTTACAGGCAGAGTGGACAGTGAGAGAGAGAGACAGAGAGAAAGGTCTTCCTTTTCCATTGGTTCACCCCTCAATGGCCGCTGCGGCCGGTGCACCTCGCTGATCCAAAGGCAGGAGCCAGGTGCTTCTCCTGGTCTCCCATGGGGTGCAGGGCCCAAGCACTTGTGCCATCCTCCACTGCACTTCCGGGCCATAGCAGAAAGCTGGCCTGGAAGAGGGGCAACCGGGACAGAATCCGGCGCCCCGACCGGGACTAGAACCCCGTGTGCCAGCGCCGCAGGCGGAGGATTAGCCTAGTGAGCCGGCTGGGGTAATATGTTTGAAACTGTTAAGGCCAGACAGTAAGAAGCTTTGCAGCAGGGCTATTGTGGAAGCTGAATGATGCTGTGGGATATTTCATTCCCTTCTTTTTTTTTTTTAAGATTTATTTATTTATTTTAAAGGCAGAGTTAGAGAAAAGGAGAAACACACACACACACACACACAGAATCTTCAATTTGCTGGTTCACTCTCTAAATGGTTGCCAGGACTGGAGCTGGGCTTATCCAAAGCCAGGAGCTAGGAGCCAGGAGCTTCTTCTGAGTCTCTCACAAGAGTTCAGGGGCCCAAGCAGTTAGACCATCCTCTGCCACTTTCCCAGGCCCATTAACAGGGAGCTGGATTGGAACTGGAGCAGCCAGGACTCAGGAACTGGCACCTATATGAGATGCTGGTGCTGTAGGTGGTGGCTTTATCCACTGTGCCACAGTGCTGGCCCCAGGATGTTTATTTTTAAAATGTATAGAGTGGATTGAAGGGAGAGGTTATGCATCTAATGGAGTATTCTTCAGTCTTAGAAAAGAAAGAAATGCTGAGACATGCTGCAACATGGATGGACCTTGAGGATATTACGCTGAGTGAAATAAGCCAGCTGCAAACATGCTGTAGAATTCCAGTTAGATGAGGGACTTAGAGAACTTAAGTTCATAGAGCCTGAAAGTGGAATGGTGGTTGCTAGACGCTCAGAAAGGGGAAAGAGTGGAGAGTTTCAATTCAAGATGAAAAAATAATTCTGTGAATGGATGATGGTGATGGTTGCACAACAATGTGAATGTGCTCAATGTCACAGAACCGTGCACATAAACATGATAAAATGGTAAATTCTATATTATGTGTAATGTTCTACAACTTAAAGAAAGAAAAGAAAACAAAAAAAAAGAGATTTGAAACAGAAGAAAAAGCAGGGCTCGTTTTCAGACTGTATTCAATAGTCCAGGTGAGAGCTAATGTGGTGATAATTGGGTGAGGAGCAATGGAACTATTAACAGAATCATATGAAAGGGTTGTGTTTTGCACGTCAGAGCTGGTCAAATGTTGGCAGTGTCATACAGTTCAACCTTCTAGAAAGGCAAAGGGAGACAAATTTTTTAATGAAGTCCAAGAAAATGTACATTCTTACCATTTAAGTTAAATTGCAAAATATTTCCTGGGGCACTTGCTCTCAGACTAATAACCCAAATAGCAAATATTTTCCATTTTCAATCATCTTAGGTCAATTTGAAAACAGCCTTTTATTTTTTATTGGAGAAACTCATATTGTCTTCACTTTGTTCAGTGTGAAGTTGACTTGCCAAAATTGCCTTCAATCCACATTTGCCTTTTGTGTTTCAAACAGGGGAAAGTTTCCATTTCCCCATTTCATCCTGAAAGCTTTCAAAAAGTTTGGGCAGTGCCCAGAGCTGTCCCCATAACTCACTTCATCATTTCAGCTCTAGTTCTTGCACTTGGCAGACTTCAGACGCCAACTTTCTGTTTCAACGCTGGGCAAAATCCCACAGAGGACTTTGGTACCAATACCCACTGAGAGTCTTTAACTTTTCAACAAAGTGGCAGAATAAAAAGAGCAAGCTTTATTTATCACCTATAATCCACCAGGATGTTATAAAAATCACACACATGTAAGTGATGCCTCGACTTTGATCTATATAAGAGGCACTCCAAGAGATCATTAAAAAGGACATTTCCAAGTGGATTTCACATAGATTTGGATTCAGTATATCTTTAATGGGATCCAGGAACTTTTTTAAAAAATTAGGATAACTCTGCTATGGGGGGGGGGTATGCAAGCAATAATTTCTGAGTAACTGATAGGTTAGATCAGAGTTTATTATCTTTTTCCTAAGGATAATTACAGTGATCTTAACAATACTGTCATTTAAAGCTGGTAGATCCTGTAGTGTTCTCATTGCATTTCTGCTTATAGTATTTCTGAAGAACATTTTTCTCAACCATAGAAATATTTCAATGAATGCAATGAGGTAGTAAGTATTTTGACACAGGTTTTCTGCCATTTGGGAGGCAAGAGTAATGTTTATCCCTTCCATGAGCTGTGTCTCTGTTTCCTCCTGTTCTCTAATGGTTTAAGTGGATGGAGCAGGAGGTTAGCACACTGTGAAGCAAGGACAGAGGAGTGTCACTGAAAATCTAAAGTCAGCTGGGTAACAGCAGCCATTGGAGAAAAGAGGAATATTATGAGCCAAATAGAAGAAAGCTCAGAAGCAGTGAATTTTCAGTTGAGGAGTGGTGGGGACACCCTTAAAAAAGGGCAGGCTTTTAAAGGAAGGTTTCAGAATAGCAGTCTAGAGGCAGCAGTGGGAGCCAGTGTCTGTCCCTCTACACTGAGGTTCCAAGGCCGTGGGAGAATGGCTCATCTCTGTTGACGATGGTGGGAAGAATGTCATTGCCAAGGGGAGCCAGTGGCTAGGACAGAACCGTGCCAAAGAAACATACTGGATTTCTCCCAACATCTTGGTTGTTGGTCAAGAGATTTCCTCAAACAATGAAATATGGTGTGAAAATCCCACTGGATATAGGACAGAATGTCAAGCAGCTTCTCGAGTGAGGATAAAGAACCCTACAAATGAGACACCTGTGAGCCAAACCAAATATTATCTGTGGCCAGATCTGGCCTATGTGCAGCAAGTATGTGGTCTCTGCATTGGAGCCAGAGAGACTTTTGGCTCAGTTCTGGTTCTGGAATTAGGCATTAAACCTTTCTGACCTTAAATTTTTTCATTCATAGGATGGTGGATTGAATAAGACCTGACTTTTATTTTCACAGAAAGGATTAGACATACTTTTCATGTCACTAAGTGAATATATGGCAAGCTATTTTTCCAGTGTCTGCTACCCGGTAGGTGTTCAGTAGATGGCTCTTATATTGACTAGACTCATGCATTTAAAACATGTCTCTTCAAAGACTAAAGAAGCAAACACACTGTCTCAGAAATGTACAAGACTACTTTGTCAACAATTATTCTGTTAGGTAAGGTGTGGCTTTTAGTGCAGAAAAGGCACTTGACTTAGATCCCTATTCTCGTAGTGCTTTCTCTTTAAGTCCTCTGGTCCTATAGATGCCTGAATGTTATAAGGCAGAAATGTACACTTCATACATGCAGAGAAGCTGTCAAAGAAGTCTTAATCTACGTACAATATCCAAAGCTCTTGCTGAAGTAGCTTGTCCCATTCAGAGTTTTGCTAGAAATGGTACAAAGTGAATTAAACAGTTTCCTCTTGGGAGACCCAAGGTATATTTCAATGACAATAATGGAGATTTGTATTAATATAAAATGGAATGAATAACAGATGAAAAAATAGTGAATAAAATAAAAGTAAGGGAAGGAAAGCTCACATTTGCTGGTAGAAAAAGAAGAGTCTGAGGCATAATTCTGCTTCTTTCCACCAATCAGAGAGCTCAGGAAGAGACGAGATGTCAAAATTCAGTAATCTGGAGATTTCTTGGTGAGATAACTCGAAATGAATGTCCCAATTCACAGAGAGGAGAACATTCCAAATACAGTGTGAGACTTGAGTAGAGGTCTAGAAATGGGAAAAGATGATTGCTCACCTGGATAGGAATAAGTTTTCCTGGAAAGCTATGGTCTTGAAGAATTAAGATGGGGATAAATAGACCATTCTAGGAACTGAGTGATGTGAGATAATATTCAGCTGGTCTCTAGACCTGGCCTTCCATGGACAGTGTGTTCCACAGGCCTAGGGTAATTCTGCTATCTTCCAGTTGAGTGCTTATTTATCTGGACCTGTTTTCAGCTGATTTAAGTCCATTTGTTCCTCTATTCTTTTTAAAAATATTTATTTTATTTATTTGAAAGGCAAAGTGGGGGGGAGGGAGAGAGGGAGAGAGGGAGAGAAAGAGAGAGAGAGAGCGCGCTTCCATTTATTAATTTACTCTCTCAATGACCACAATGGCTGGGCCTGGGCCAGGCCAGTCTGGGTGCCACTTGTGGGTGGCAGGAACCCAAGTACTTGAGCTATCTTCTGCTGCTTTTCCAGGTGCATGAGCAGGGAGCTGGCTCAGAATTGGAGCAGCCAGGACAGAATTGGCACACTGATATGAAATACTGGTTATTGGAGGGGGTGGCATAACCCAGCATATCACAAAGGACAGCCCTCCCTCTATTCTTTATTTAAAGTAACTTATTTATTTTCATTTTATTTGAGACACACCCACACCCACACCCACATACACACACATACAGAGAGAGAGAGAGAGAGAGAGAGGAGAAAGAGAGAGATTTTGCATCTACTAGTTACTCCCCAGCATCTGAAACAGTTAGAGCTTGGCTAAGCTGAAGCCAGGAGCTGGGAACTCAATATAGGTCTCCAACATGGGCAGCAGGGATCCAAGTACGTGAAGCATCACCTGCTGCCTTCAAGGGTATGCATTAGCAGGAGGCTGGAATTCGGAGTGGAGCCAGGACTCAATCTCAGGCACTCCAATATGGGATAGCAGTGTCCCAAGCTGTGTCTTAACAGCAGACACGCCAAATGCCTACCTCTCCTTCATTGTTTTCTATAATCTTCTGGGGTCAGGTTAGTGTTATTTGGCTATTAAATTGGTCCTGGAAAAGAAAAATCAAGAAAGAAGGCGAAGCACATTTCTAAGTCTATCAAGAGGCATAGATGCTTGGTTGTGACTCAGTTGATGGGCTGTGACCACCTTCAGTAGCTGTTGAGGGCTAACATGTGGAAAGTTGACCTGCACTTTCTTCCTCCTCAATTATATTACTCTTGACCTTGACTATGCTTGAAGTTGTCCAGAATTCCTTGTCAAAATGACATTTTGGTTTTTGATAGGCTAAATTTGTTCCAGGAACTTTTTATCTCTTTTTAAAAATATTGTGTTTCATAATAAAGTAGGCAGAGGGTCCTGGTTTCTTCCAAAATGTTTAAAACTGTCAGTTTAACTCAGCAGGAATAAAGCAATAATCTGATATGAAATGCACTAATTAATAAGCTAAATAGACAAATACACATCCATATATAAATCTAAAATATTTTAAGATTCACATATATTTAATCTTTAGCTATTTTGAATATGGAAAAGAGAAAGAAAAGAACAAGTTTATAATATTCTAAGAAAAGTATTTAATAGTGGTGTTTGAAACTTGGGTTCATTCTGACTCCATGTCTATTTGCCAATTGTGTCTTTTTCAGAAAGTTGCTCAACCATATTCTGCAATAGTTTCCTTTAATATATATGGGTAAGAAAGGAGTGACTTATATTAGCATCTAAGACAGATTGGTTAAGAAGGTTAAACAAGTTAATGTATGTAAAATACTTAAAGAGTTACTAATACAAAGTGAGTATTGGAGACATGTTACCTTTTGATTTGTATGAATGTAATAATAATTACAATTGCACTTAAGCAAGTATGATCCTAACAGTAGGATTAGACCAAGTTATCCTTGTTCTATAGGTCTCATGAGATTGAGCTACCACTAAACACCTCTGGCCAACCTTTCTTCAAATACCAGAACACATTGGTGATGTTAGCCATGAGCAAGTTTTGCTTCTCCATGCCTCTTAAAGGCCTAGAGGCAGAAGATGCCCCAAGAGGCTAAAGGAAAACCCTTAGCAGGGAGACGTTTCCTACAGCTCAAGCCTACTAACTGAAAGTTCTGCTAATTCATCAATCAATCTTTTCAAAGGGAACTCCCATATCCCAAATTCTCTGAATCTGCTTACATATTTCTCTCTGTTAAACACTACAATTTTTAGCAGATAACAGCTTTTAGAAAAATAATTTTTCATGTATAAGATGCAAAAGTCTTTTCTTTCTATTTATAAATGGCATCCAAGCAGGTTTTGAATTGCTAGAGGATATTTTATAGACCAGGAAGCTAAAGACTTGAGCAAGTGCTCTCACATTTTCATTGGCTTAATGGATATTTCCAAACACATTTGAAGAACTCAGAAAATCGGGTGTTCTGTACAAATATATCAGCTGAAATTTGTGAAACTTCTAGGTACCATCACATGCATGTCTATAGGTAGTTCAACAGGTTAGGTAACTGTGGTTTTGGACTTAATTGCAAACTTGATACTTTAATAGTAATTCCAGACAGAGGAATCACAGTGTGAAGGGACTGCCATGATGTTACCGCTGCCTATAAAAAACAAGTAGGATCCTTAGGGTTTAATTAGAGGACTTACAATTACACCTAAAGTATGCTAGTGTTAAAATAGAATCACTGGACATCTGGAGGATAAGTCTGCATTTGGTCTCTTGCCTTTAGGAAACTAAATTCACCAAATTGTTGAGTGTCCAAATGAACAGTGATGATCCCACCTGGATTTCTACACTGGCAGAAATGACAAAGTTAAATGTGAGCAGGATAGTTCAGCGCATATTTGAGGAGTAGGTATTTAAAATCACAAGGAATCTAGGATGAAGACTGCATTCTTTGGCACCAACTTGAAAATAAATCATCTAGTGGCCAGTGCTGTGGTATAGTAGGCTAAGCCTCTGCCTGCAGCATTAGAATCCCATTTGGGCACTGGTTCGAGTCTCAGTTGCTCCTGTTCCCATCCAGCTCTCTGCTTATGGCCTGAGAAAGCAGTGGAAGATTGCTCAGTCACAGCACTGGGCTACTGTGTGTTACTTGAACACAATCACTGCAACACCATGACAGTTGATCTGATAACTGAAATTGTTAAGTGACTAATGGGTGGGTAGTGTATTAGGTTTGGCTACATTGGACCAAGGGATAATTCAAATCCAGGTGGGATGGTATGGGACAGTGTCATGTTTCATTTTTCTACTCAAAATAGTATGCGATTTAAAAACTGATACATTACTTATTTCTGGAACTTCCCAGTTAGTATTTTCAGCCTGTGGATAATCATGAGTGACTGAAATATGGAAAATGAAATTGAATAGTAAAAGTTAACAGAATAATTAACACAATAACTTTAAAACAATTTTTTTACTTATTTGGGAGAGAGAGAATATAAAGGAGAGAGAGAGAGAAAGAGAGAGAGAACACAAAAGCTCTCATTTGCTGGATCACTCCTCAAATGTCTGCAAATGATTGGAACTAGACCAGGCTGAAGTCAAGAGATAGGAACTTCATCCAGGTATTCCACGTGGGTGGTGGGAAACAAGTTACTTAAACCATCACCACTCTTCCCAGAGTCTGCATCGACATGAAGCTGGAAACAGGCACCAGAACCAAGAATTGAACCCAGGCACTCTGACATGGGTTACAAAAATCTTAACTAGTGTCTTAACTGCTAGGACAAAAACCTGCTCCAGAATAAGTTGTTTTTTTTTTTTATTTTTTTGATAGGCAGAGTTAGACAGTGAGAGAGAGAAAGAGAGAGAGAGAGAGAGAGAGAGAGAGAGAGAGAGGTCTTCCTTTTATATTGGTTCACCCCCCAAATGGCCGCTACAGCTGGCGCGCTGCGCCGATCCGAAGCCAGGAGCCAGGTGCTTCCTCCTGGTCTCCCATGCGGGTACAGGGCCCAAGGACCTGGGTCATCCTTCACTGCCTTCCTGGGCCACAGCAGAGAGCTGGACTGGAAGAGGAGCAACCGGGACAGAATCCAGCGCCCCGATCGGTTCTAGAACCCGGGGCGATGGTGCCGCAGGCCGAGGATTAGTCTAGTGAGCCGCGGCGCCAGCCCCAGAATAAGTTTTGAAGGAGAGCATTGTTTATCATATTTTATTCCTCTCACTCATCCTCTTCATCATCAAAATCAAAACATCATATGCACATATAGAGAGAGAAAGTGATATACATATATATACACATATGCATATATATGTATATGTATTCTATTTTCCCCAATGCATTAGAAATGCTAATAAAAGAGGCAGGATCCTTGTTTCTATTTTTTTTCTTTCTAAAGCTATGAAAAGAGAAACGTTTTTGTTTGTTCCTTATATGGCTTTAGAAATACCTTTGAGACAAAATTGTCTTTTTAGCAGATTTCATCTAAAACTAGTTTTTTTTTTTTTTAGTTTAGGAATAAAATTTAAGGCTTCTTGGAATATTTTATATTCTCTCACTTCACAAAAGGATAATTTCAATGTGTCTAAGTTACTAAGAATCCATTCTACATGGTATAGCAGAAGTTTAAATTATGTAATTTAAATTACTCTAGGATAAAACTCCTCAGAAACAGAGAGCACAGCTTCAGTATATGGTCTAGCGGCAAGAGTAAATGGAGTGGAAAGTAGTAAAAGGTTTTTTAGAAGGTTTAATACTTAGGATCTCTCAGTCCACTGCAGTTTACTCACTCCTTAGGAGACACAGATGGGACAGGGCAGGGGTGTGTAAAGACTGAAGCAATTCTTGAATACTCAGCCATGAAATGGAAAATCAAAATAAAATAAGTATAACTGTAACTACCGTGGTCTATTAATATTCAAATACTAATACCTACTTTTCTTTCAGAGAAGTTTTACTGAACACTTACTGATAAAAAATAGCTTAGGAAGAAGAATATGTTCAAGCAAAGCATTTAAACAGGGGTCGAATGGCATGTGATTTGCTTAAATCAGAGTAATAGTCAATCATTGAAAACAAGTTTCCCATCCAAATGCATCTTCTAACTTACGCCTGCTTGGAAAAAATTTCCAAAGTGCATTACAACTTTTCATAGGGGTGACACATGGTCCTATTTTCCAGAGACTTTGATTTAATATTTGAGTGCAATGGTATTTGACTTTGTTAGTATAGAATATTTAAACTTAAAAAGAAAATACCTTAATTTGCTTATACATAAGCCTATTAAAAACATTTCTAGAGGCTCTTATTATGTTTACCCTTTAGAACATAACCTATCTTTGAAGTTGTATATTAGTTTTTAAAAAGTCATTCCCAAGCTGAATAATTACAGTAAAAACAAAAGCTATTCTTAGAGTGTGTTCCACATATAAACTTATGCACATGATGCTTTGATTCAAATAATATTCTTATAAAACTTTGTTATTGTTTGAGGTCTATATTCAGAATGGCAACTTTTGTTTTTGATGATTATTCCATCCTGAAACAATTTCCCACTGCCCAATTAAAGCAGAATTAGGAGCACATTTTTATCTGATGAGGCTTAAACTTCTCAACTGCCTGCTTCAGATGAAGCAGAAATGAAGACCTTTAGCAGTTGTGTTCATTTTGTCTCTTTGTGGAGGGCTCAAAATAAAACAGAATCAGTTCCCTTAAGTGTTTTGGATGAGGATGGTTGCCTTTGCTGCTTTGATCTTGGTAGGTTGTACATTTTTTATTGGTTGTTGTTTTCTGCTATATTATCTTATTGTAAATCACATAATATCTTCCAACCTAAAGCAAAATGTCCAAGTCCAAAATATAATTTCAAAATGGATTTATCATTACAAGTGATAGAAAGATTTCCAAGTATAAGAAAAACTATGCAATCATTTGATTAATATACTATAGACTGTTAAAAAGTATATTCATGCACTTTGGAGAATGAATTCCAGGATATGGGTATACATTCGTGCTATGTTAGACCCCTTTTCCTATCATTGCAAGAGGTTGTTTTAGTTAATGTAATAGCTTGCTAAGTTATTGCTTCACCAATATAATCCATAATGCAAAAGCAGCTTTTTCCCAAACATTTTAGAGCACTTCAAATTGTTCACATGTCTTTGTTAAGTGATTTTCCTATAGCTTTGTGCCAAGTGTTGTCATACTGTTTGATAAAAATCTTCATTAAATCAAGAAAATTGTACTTAGTTAAGTTTCCTTCATACAAAGATATATAGGAAAATTACAGCAGCTGAGGTGAGGCCATCATCATTAAGTAAATACAGGGTTTAGAAATGGTGGCAAGCTATAAAAATGGAGTTGTATAATTAAACATCAAATAGTCCAAGTGATAAAAGTCATGGATTAACTGTCTCTCAGTTCTGGTTAGATCCTTTAAATATTGTCTCACAACTTGGGCATTGGTTCTTTCATCAGAAGAGTGCCTATCTTTAAAGTTTGGAAATTTCAGATCTTTTGGAGCACCAATCAATTGCAAAAAATAATTGGCATCTTCTTCCAAAGTTTCAAATTTTCCTACAAAATCATACTTGATCAAACATGGATAACAGAGTTTGCTGACCTTTTCCCAGTGAATGTCCATTCCCACTGGACGGTGGGAATCCAGTAAATAGTGGATGAACTCTTTGAATTTGACTCCAGAGCCATTAATTAATGCTTCTTCACAAACATTTGGTCGGTATTTTTTTATAATTGCCTTTCCAAATACTGGATGGTAATAACTATTGGGGTGTTCAAATTTGTCCCTAAACGCTGACACTAATCTTTCTATGGGATCACGAACAAATACAGCTTTGGTGTAGGTATTTAGGCGAGTGTATATTCCTTTCAAGTCAAAACTATCTAGCTTTTTCAAGTGCTTCCCATAGTGAACAGCATCATGGGAGATGTTGTATGCAGAAGAGGCCAATCCATTTAGGACCATCAGAATTCTTTTCCAGTTGGAACAGCCAGCTTTTGGTACTTCACAGTACAAGATCTTGTGTTTGTCTTCTACATAGATCCTGGATACCATATGAAAAACATGTGATTGAGGATGACTCACTCCACCATATTTCTTGCAAAATTCCTGTAGGAAAGACCTGCGCTTTTCTTGGGTCACATCAGTTTTCTTCCATTTGTCATCTTTGACTAAACTTTTATTTAAAGGGCGGATATCCGAGGGCCAATTCAGCTCACTGAACTTCTTGAAAAGAGTCTTAGTTCCTTGATGTTTTTCAATCAACTTATTTGTTGGAGACTCCATGATCTTATTCAAAGTTTGATCTCCTCCCTGTGAGTGACTGGTCTTTGTTAAGACCCTAGCAAACCTTTCAGAATTGAGTAGATTTTCCTTTTTCTCCTTCAGATTCTCAGGCATGTGGAACTCGGTTTTCTGCTAAAATAGAGAAGGAGAAATGTTGAAAACACATTCAGAAGTGTGGGTATATTAGATAAGGAATTTAACATATTTGTTTTAAAATACGATTGAGGAGAGCATATTTTATGTAAGCTGCCATAACAACTTGGCGAGGCATGCTAAATATACATTAAGTAAGCTTCTTCACAGAAACCACCATGATGAGAAATGGTATTCACAGGATGGTGAGCAAAGGGATTTTTGTTCTGCCTGTAATGCAATGGAATATAACCTCAACACTTCGTGTGTCACTTATTCTTGAGTTATTTGGTATTTTCAAGTACTAATGAAGTTAGTACATCTGAATCCAGGCACAAAATGTAGCTGTATTTGCCTAAAATATTTGAATTTTTGGGGTGTACTCTGTAATGCACAGAGGAGTTCCAAGCCATAAATTTAGACCTAAAATTGAAATAAGGCTAATTATAAAGTCCTGATGACTACTTTGGTTTCCTAAGCACTTGCAAAAAGTGACTTTTCCCCTGGATATATTTTATTTTTCTAAATTCATTTATCACAATATTTTAAGAATTATAATGATAATATTCATGTAGGAGGGCTTCCCTCTTTCCCAAGTGAGGAATGATTAAAGAATCCATAAAAATCCACTTGACATTCTACTATATAAAATCATATCAAAAGTAGAATGAGATTTTAGTTCTCTTGCTTGAGGACTGAATCAGATCATTTACCATGTCCTCTTCATCTGACTACAGGCTTTTTTTTTTTTTTTTTTTTTTTTTTTTTTACAGCCAGAGTGGACAGTGAGAGAGAGAGACACAGAGAGAAAGGTCTTCCTTTGCCGTTGGTTCACCCTCCAATGGCCGCTGTGGCCGGCGCACCACGCTGATCCGATGGCAGGAGCCAGGTGCTTCTCCTGGTCTCCACGGGGTGCAGGACCCAAGCACTTGGGCCATCCTCCACTGCACTCCCGGGCCACAGCAGAGAGCTGGCCTGGAAGAGGGGCAACCGGGACAGAATCTGACGCCCCGACCGGGACTAGAACCCCGTGTGCCGGCACTGCAAGGCGGAGGATCAGCCTAGTGAGCCACGGCACTGGCACTGACTACAGGCTTTCTATAACTTGCATTGGCTGGGTAAAAGAAGATGTGGAAGTTGGGATCTTCATGGTGGCATCCTCTAATAGGGACAAAACTCGTAGAATTTTGGCTTTTACTATGGGTTATTAGTGAGCCTTTAAGGGCTCTTGAACAGAGAAGTTACCTGATCTCATTTAAACTTTCTTTTTTAAGGGATTTTCTTTCTTTCTTTTTTTTTTTTAAGTTTTATTTATTTATTTGAAAGGCAGAGGCACCGAGAGGCATAGGCAGAGGCAGAGGCAGAGAGAGAGGTCTCCCATCCACTGGTTCACTCCCCAAGTGGTTGCAACAGGGGAGCTGTGCCGATCCGAAGTCAGGAACTAGGAGCTTCCTCCAGGTCTCCCATGCAGGCCCAGGAGCCCAAGGACTTGGGCCATCTTCTACTGCTTTTCCAGGTCATAGCAGAGAGCTGGATTGGAAGTGGAGCAGCCAGGACTTGAATCACCATACATATGGGATGCTAGCACTGCATACAGCAGCCTTATCTGCCACGCCACAGCGCCAGCCCCTCCTTTAAACTTGAAAAGAATGATTGTGGAGAAGACTGGAGATAAATTTACAGGACTGACAACATATTATTGGGTAAGTGAAAAATCAATCATACGGTGTGGGAGTAATTCATTGTGTCACAGTGCTAGAGGTGGAGGAATTGATGAGGGAAAGTTTCCTGTGTTTACCACCATGTCCCTGTATCTGGAGAGCTCTAATTCCTGTAGTAGTTGCAATCAAACACTTGTTGAATGAGTGATGGATTTAGGTCTTGAAGGATGATTATGAATTTTCTAGAAAATTGAACAAGAGAATAGAGGAATGAAGCACTAGGTGGAGCCAACTACAGGCACCACCGTGGTCCCTGCACCAGTTGAGTGTGAAGGAACCTTCTTTCTAATGCAAGAACTGACTGAATAACTCCCTGTTCATCATATACCAACTTGAACAGTCTCAAAATAGCCAAAGCAAATTTTCCCTATTATTCAGGTTTCAATTCCAAAACCATTTGTTGTCTTCTCCTGCCAGGATGACTTTGAAGCCCCATATACTTCTCTACTCTGATCAATGATTTGCAGCCAAGAAAGTTGTCACCAATAACAAAAACTGACTTTAGGTTTGCAGAATTATTGGGTTACTGGTAGACATACATGGTAAGAGAGGAGTTAGCATGGGCTTCAAATAAAACTAGTACTACATTTCCACAGCTTCTTTTGCTAATACAAATAAAAACAATAATTTTATTATTGTTGTTTGAGTAGTAGAAATAACAGTACTTTATCCCAGTGACCTAGCAAACTTCAGATATCCCCAATTGTATATTAATATTCAGAATGCAATGTGTGTCTCCACATATACTCTGATCAGTTCTCTCCTTTGCTCCACACACATAAAAAAATCATAAATAAAATCAGCCTTCTACTGTGCCTTCTAGACCTTCTGCTCAGAGGTCATCAAATTTGCCATCAGCCTCCAGGTTCTTTTGCAATGTTTTATCCCATGTCTTTTTCTCAACAAAACTCAATGGCCCCCCAAGGCTCTGCTTCCCTTGACTTTCTCAAGTAGATGAAACTTCACTTCCTGGAGCCACGTCTCTCAGGCCAGAAACTAGGGGGCTATTTTCTTGCAGCTCATTCTGGCATCCAATAAACTCTCAGCTCCTTGACCATCCCATCATCCAATACTATTTTATTATTATTTTATTTATTTGAATTGGAGGAGAGAGAGAGAGAGAGAGAGAGAGAGAGAGAGAGATGCTATCTACTGGTTCACTCTCCCCAAAGCCCACTTATGGTTAGAGGACTGAAGCCAGCACTTGTGATACAATCCAGATCCCTCACATGGTGGTGAGGAGCCCAGTTACTTGAGCCATCACCTTTCCTTCCCAGAGTCTGCATTAGCAGGAAGCTGGAGTCAGTAGTTGGAAATGAATATTGAACCCAGACACTCAGATATGGGATGTGGATATCCTAACCAGTATCCTAACTGCTAGACCATATGCCAAAAAACTTTGATCATCTATCTTTCAACAGAAGATTTCTCCATTTTATATAAACCCTGGCTACTAACAAGACCTGTCCCACCTTCATCATTTCTCTAATCACCATCATCTAACCATCCAGCTCACTATTGTGCAATTTTGACACTTTCACTATGGGATCCAGGCCCTTAGCAGCCAGCATGACTGGTTCTTTAGCTCTCGGTCAGAGGGCCCTCTCTAAAGAGGCTTTCTTTGTCCATCTTGTCTAAGCTATGTTTTCCCAAGGTTCTCTTCCACAGCACTGAACTTATTTTGTTAACAGAATTAAGCACTATGGGAAATAACTATTTATTTAGTTCTGTGTTGACTTTATTTTACCCACTCCACCTTCATTGCAGAACTGCAGAGGTTTTATCCTTCTTGTTCTATGTACCTGGCACATAGAAGATGATGGACAATTGTTGAATGAGTAAATGGGATTATAATTTAATGGGGACTTCCACACAATTATTTTATGACTTTGTTGAAGAATAATAGTATTCATTGAAGGGTCAAGGTTAACTTAGATAAACAATTGACCAATTCTTGTTAAGGTGATGAAAATCTGTGTTTCACAAATTTTTGGCAGAGGAGAAAACAAACAAAATAGGCACATGTGGAGCTGCTCATGCTACCGTGAGTGTGCAGGCTTATAGCCTTCCTTGTCTGCCAAATCAGATTGATTCAAAGTAACTCAGTGCTGTCTCAGTACTCCTGGAGGGCTTGCCAGCAATTCCCAAGCCTTACAATGGACACTTGGAACCCCAGAGTTCATAGTGAGGCTCTGGACTCTCATTTATATCAGCTCACTGTCCCATGTGGGGACCGGAGAACTGGAATGCAACAAAGAAAATGAAAACAAGACAAAACAAAGCAAAAAAAAAAAAAAACAAACAAACTATGAAGACTTCCTCCTATCCTCTCCAGAAGAGGAACCCAGAAAATACGATGGATTTGAGTATTTCAGTAAGAAGAGTTAGAACTTGGATAAAGGGTGATGATACATCTGCCTTTGCAAACATCAGATGAAATACCTTTCCTGTCTTTTCTTTTCTTTTTTTTTGACAGGCAGAGTGGATAGTGAGAGAGAGAGACAGAGAGCAAGGTCTTCCTTTGCCATTGGTTCACCCTCCAATGGCCGCTGCGGCCAGCGCGCCGCGGCCGGCGCACCACGCTGATCCGATGGCAGGAGCCAGGTACTTATCCTGGTCTCCCATGGGGTGCAGGGCCCAAGGACTTGGGCCATCCTCCACTGCACTCCTGGGCCACAGCAGAGAGCTGGCCTGGAAGAGGGGCAACCGGGACAGAATCCGGCACCCCGACCGGGACTAGAACCCGGTATGCCGGTGCCGCAAGGCGGAGGATTAGCCTAGTGAGCCGCGGCGCGGGCCACAAAGCAAATTTCTAATGCATGAGGGCCAGGTTCATCACTCAGTATAAATTAGATGTTAGTCTCCTGTTATTTAGTGCTAAGCAGCTTCCTTTACTTTGATCATAATTGAGACATTGGAAAAAGGTTAATTCTCTAAAGTAATGACACTGACACCTAATAACCCCTCTTGGATGGTCACCAGACCTTCTCTTAGACCCCCTCCTCTTGCTGTTACTCATCTTATAAAAGCTGTAATTAGGAAGTGGTTAACTCCTCCCCCAATACGTACTCTAATTCAACTTCCCTTCCAATCATGGAAAAGGCTTTCTAGGACTGACAGGTTTGAATTACTAAAATCAAACTTAATAACACTTTAAGTTTGAAGCTTGTACCAATGAATTTCCATCACCATATCATAATGAGAAAAATAATAACTACAACATAATAGAAAGAATAAATCTTATGTTTTCATTTTCCTTGGGGCCTATTCTGATTGTCT